GTGAGTAGCAGGGGGTCACCGGGTCGAACCCTAATGACCGCTTAATCTGCACGGGTCGGGAAGACCCGCTCTCGGTTGTCGGATGGCTTGTTTTGTCGGATGACACCAATATGTGCAAACCGAGGGGATAGGATAAGAGTTTCTCCCACTTACCGGCGCGCTGTCAGAGAGTGGCTATAGGAGGGCAAAAGGAGTGGGAGGCGTAATGAAGTCGTGATGAGATGTCGGTAGTACTTAACAAGAGTCATTAAATTAGGAATAACATATTTAATATAAACTTAAAAATAATACAAATACAGTAAAATTACACATTAATTCTAAACAAAATGTAAGCAATAATTATAATAAATTCCGAGTCGCGACAATATCGGACAACCGATGTCCGTCTATCCCGTAAGTGGGACCACCAAAGGTCTTCGACACAAAATAATTCTAAGTCCTATCCAAAGGAACAGATAAATAAATTCAAAGTTCCGAGTATATCGGTAAACGACAAATTTCTAAGTCCCGAGTATACTGAGAGACAATATTTTCTAAGTCCGAGTATACCGAGAGAGAGTGAAGTAAAAACAATCTAAGTATTTACCTCTTTAGGTCGGCGATCAGAAACCTTGAAGTCCTTCCAGAGTAGACGCTTGTAGTCTTCTTCCTCCGATGATCGCCTCGAGATCTCCGATCATTCCCCTTTTATACTTTTTTAGCGTGGGAAATCTCGGGGATTCTTCTGACGCAAACTGTCACTTTTCCCGATATATGACAGTCTCCCCCGTCATGGGTGACGACAATGCAGACATCGCTTGACCAATTAATGTTAAATTCGTCATCACCTGGGGAGATGACTGACCATTTTTGGTAATGTTCTCACCGTACGGGTGACCCTTGTAGGTGACCTCTTGTCTACTCTCTATACAGGAACACCCATACGTCTCCGTACACCGGACACCCGCAGGAGACTACTCTTTTACAAGGTGTCTGAGGTGTGACCAATTAGCAAAAACAAACAAACGCCCCGGGGAGAGGGGAGTTCTTCGCCTCGGACGACTTCGTCCTAGGGATGACCTTCTTGACGGACGAATTACGCAGTTCATTATCCGGTGTCTATTCCTCGGACATTGGGGTGAGAACGGGAGAAATAACGGAAATAATGATGAAAGAAATATAAAAATTCTCATACGATAGTCAGATTTTCACAATAAGAGATAAGCATAAACATTTCAGAGACATTGTAAGCACTGAAAGTTACAACTCAAGCAAATGTATAATTCTATTTCTTCAATTTGGTGTAGTGAATACGACATGGAAAACGATACATTGGATTTTCTGGAAAGTAATTCAACATCTAATGCTACATCCATTTATTATATCAACAAAGATCTTAAAATGACTCAGAATATAATTGCGATAGTTTCCCTAATAATTATAATGATTGCTATGGGTGCAGAAATCACTTGGAGTCAGGTATTAGCATTTATTTCTCTTTATTTATTGTTTAATTAACAGTAACTATTACAGTTTTTACGTTAATAGATTTATAAAGGAATCCGAAAACCCGTTGGTCCAGCTATTGGACTCTTTTGCCAATTTGTTATAATGCCATTGATTGGATTTATGTATAATGTTATATTTCAATTCGAATCGAGTCTAGCGGCTGGTTTGCTTATTAAATCATGTTTCCCCGGAGGTGCTATTTCTAACGTCTTTACATATTATTTAGATGGCGATGTTTCGCTGAGGTATGTAAGAATTGTTTACTATATTTAGCTACAGAGAAATATTATCCATAAAATAAATATTTACCATGTCATAGTGTGACTATGACTACAATATCTATCGTAGCATCCCTAGGCTTGATGCCTTTGAACCTTTGGATATATGCAAGTAATACAGAAGCTAAGAACTTAAAAATACCTTATGACAATATTGCATTATCACTATTAATGATTGTTCCTCCCTTGATTTTGGGTATGATAATAAAATGGAAAGCTCCTAAAGTATCTTCTTAAATAACTAAGGTATAAAACATGATTTACTAAATGGTTAAGGCGTTAATTTTAATCATTTATATTATATTATGAAACTATTTTTGTTTTTAATAGTGGGGAAGTACAACAAGTATGATAATGATCATAATTTTCGTGATAATGGAGATAATCTCCTCTCAACACATGTTTAGTATAGTATCGTGGAAAGTTATTATAACCTCTTTATTATCTCCCATAACTGGAATTATAACTGGATATGTCATAGCTTTCGTCAGTAGAAACTCCAAAGCAGCCTGCACTGCAATAGCTATTGAGAGCGGGATTCAGAATTTTTCTGTTGCATTCGGCATTATTGTTTTATCCTTTGATACCTCCGTATGTATGTCTTTGATTTATATTGTAGATTGTAAGATTCTGATTTTTTGTTATTAAAAGAGACTTTACACTTAGAAACAAACATCAATTATGCTGTTTCCATTCTTTTATGGGATATTTCAAGGAGCATTCTGTTGCCTTCTCTCCCTAATTTTCTGTTTTATAAAGGGTAATTTGAACAAAATTCGAATGCAAGATAATGACGTCGACGATTCACAAAATACAGGTGATTATTATTATTTAAATTATTTATTTATTTTCGTATATTTTAAACTATTTTTGTTGGTGTTGATTTTAAGTATTTTTTGTGATCGTGGATGTCATTATTAACTGACATTCAAATTATCTCTACACGTCACATAATCGGAATATAATTAGAAACTATTATAGTATTCAATGTTATTTTTAATCCTTGTATGTTGTATCAGTGTTGTTTAAAGATGGAGGGAAGTAATGTATCATATCTTGAAAGAGGCTGGAGTTAATAAACATTTTACTCATTATTAGCATTTATCATTTTTAAAAATTTATCTATAGAGGAGAAGGTGGTATTATGGAACACTGCAGGTATTATGGAACCACCCCATTTCGAACTGATAATAAAGGCGAACTGTAGCAAACTGTGGCTGAGCTGAACTAGGCAGACATCCATAGCAAGGGGAAAACCCGTTTTACTTCAGTTAAACGGTTGTCCGTATTTAATCAGCAAATTTGTTTTATTCAAAATTCTCAAGTTTTGAATGCTAAGTGAATTTAATTATTTTTAAAATATAAATCGTGTAGTTGTAGGTTCACTGGTGCATGTATTCCGTTCCAGAGACTTAGGGGTACATATTAATCTGTGTGATGTTCACGTTTTTTA